GTGAGCGTGAGTGAGTGTGTAAAGGCATGAGCAGTCTCATGCGAGTGCACACAAGGGTGCAAGATCTGTGTGAACGTGAAGGCTTTTGCGTTTGTGAGAATCTGTGCAGATCTGCTAGCCCGCGTGCCTGGGTGAGTGAGTGTATACAAGGGTGAATGCAGATGTGTCCATTTGTGAGTGCGGGGGTGTGCGTGGGGGTCTGCGAGTGTGTACACGACATCTGTGAGCATGTGTAAGTCTGCGTGTGGGAGTGCACATGCAGGTGGGCTGTGTGAGAGAGAGTGTGTGCCCGTGAAGGCATCTCTGTGTGTGTTTGCATGTGTGGGAGTCTGTGCGTGTGTGACTATAAATGTGAGCTCTGTATAAGTGTGTGCTCCATCCCGAGGGGGCTGGAATCCAGCCCACCCATTCCCCAAGGCCACGGGAAAGTTCGGGTCCTAGGCCCTCCCCCTGGATTCCGGGGCCAGGACGCAGGGCGCAGGACGCTGGCTTTGCCCAGGAAGGCTGACTCAGACCGAGCAGTTTCACCCTCTTCCTGGGAGCGAGCCTGCGAGGCCTTTCTGGTTTAGAAGGCAAAACCTAGCAAAAGGGACCCCAGCCTGGAAAGTCGCACGGTACAGATTCAGCACAGCACGAGCACCCCAGCCTGTGTCCGGGACTCCAGATTTAAGGATCCAGCACAGGATACCTGTGAGCCTGGCCTCTGCTTCAGAAACTGTTTTTGCCACCTGCCCCTTCCCAGCGGCCCTTCCCACTCTCATGCTAGGGCAGCCTCTGACTTGGGTGTTGGGTTGATATCTATACGTCCGGATAGGCCATCCACTTACACAGGGCTCACCTTTGCACACACACAGGTGCAGGCAGAGCTCACACACAGACAAACGCACATAGAGTCCTGCACAGGCAGGCGCGTACACGCACACACGCATGCACGCACCCATCCCTGGTAGCATAATGGTGATGTGTTGGACTGCGAACCACAGGTCAGCAGTTTGAGATCACCAACTGCTCCTCAGGAGAAAGACGGGGTTTTCTACTCCTGTAAAGAGTTACAGTTTTGGGAGCCAGAGGCAGATAAAAAATGTATAGATCCAGGAATGGATTTTGGACTCACAGTAAATCCTAGCTCCAATTTAAGAACAGTTAATGGGTAGTTCTTACAACTTGGCTGGTTGATCCTCGCCCTGAGGAAGGAAACACGGAAGATATGGTGCTATAGCAACGTGTGGTGAAGAAATTAGATGGTGCCCGGCTATCAGATAGAATAGAGTCTGGGTTTTGAGGCTTGTTTCCTAACAAGCAGCCATCTAAGAGCAAAGTCCACTTGGAAGAAACACACCAACATCCACGCCCCAAAGGTTGTGCATCAGATAATCCAAATCCTAAGGAGGGAGCAGTATCAGAGCTTAAACTGTGAGATTCTGGTTTGCAGAAGGCTATGGATGACAGTGGAAGCCCAAGATACATTTGTGAGAACTACACAGGAAATAAGCCTCCGGTGATTTCCCTGTGACCATAACTGATGGATGAGAACAAGCTGGTTATCAAACAGAGTCTTGGAGAGATGACTGTAGGAGATCAAGATGACAAAGCTGACTCGAACGGTTAAAACCTTGTCACTCGATGCCCCTCTGATATATTTTGGGCCTGATCCGCTTTTCAACATTTTGTTTGTTTCTCTTCATATTGAAGTTTATTTCTGATGTTTTTTGTCATCGTGGGAAGTCTTCGTGCATCCTTGTTATGTGGTTTTCTGGTTTTTGGTCTGTGGACCCAGGATTGATGAGCCTATCGAGACAGCAAGTAGAATAAGGTTGTGGGGTACAGTGGGGGAGGTGGGGGGCATAAGGGAGAGCTGATGTCAAGGAGTTGAAGAGGAAGAAACTGTTTTGAAACTGATTGTGGTAGCAATTGTACAAAACTATATGATGTGATTGAACTATGGAATGGTATGGTATCTGTATTAGCTCCCAATATAATGGGTTTTGAGAAAAAAAAAAGACTTATAATGGGGCAGTTCTGGCGTCCTGTAGGGTCCCCATGAATTGGCATGGACTTTATGGCAGTGAATTTGTCTCTGTATATACATTTTCCACACACATATGTATCTTCACGTACATAACTTCACACACAAACATTTATACACACATTTCACAAGCTTTGGGCTGCTACCTTCAAGACTGGCAGTTCAAAACCACCAGCCGCTCCTCGGAGAAAGGTTATCGTTGACAGTCTTGGAGACCCCGCCCGGGTCGCTGTGAGTCAGCATCGGCAGTGGGTGGGTGAGTGTGATTTCACACCGTCAAATTGTACATTGTGCACCTTTGCACTTGACAGACAGACTCCGACAGGATGCCGTCGGGCTGTCTGAGCTCCGTGCTGCCCTCTGCGGGCGGCACGCCGTTGCTTCTGCTCCCCTGTGCGAGGCTGAACCCCACTTCCCTCATCCGTCCCCCGACGACAGTCCGCGCAAACACATGTGCAGGGCACGCGTGGACAGATGTGCACACGCCCCACACTTCTGCCAACACACACACACACACACACACACACACACACACACACACACTTGTGGGGTGTTCATTCGGTTGGTGTACAGAGGACCC